GAAATGATCCACAAACCTCGTCAAGTACCTGTGTAAAACTTTGAAGGAGTCCTAAATCTCTGGCAAGATAGTGCCGCAGCCATCTGAAATACAGCCTCAGCTGGTTGGAGCTGGTACCTGCTACATGGCCACTGAACACCTGGGTTGTCACCGACAGCAAGAGAAGAGCTCAGTGGTGAGATGAAACTGGAGAACTTCAGCAAGAAGCATGCAGTTGCCTAAGCTGATGTTCACTGACATGGGGGAATCTTCTCTCTCAACTCTCCTTTCAGTCAGGGTTATGGAATCAGGACTCTGGCTCTACAGCTGATGTCAATACAAATTTGAGAGGGAATCAGATTAAGACCTGTGATGTTATTTTTCTACAAGGCAGCGCATGGCTGTTGCAGTTTCCAGTTTTTGGGTTTTTTTAAAAGTCGCCTTACCAATTCTGATCTGCTCTAATCACGCATGATCTAACATCAAATCACATCCAGATACAAAGAAGAGAAAGACTCTACATAAACACACATAGTCTTAAAGCCTTTATTTTAATGCAAAATAAAACAGGTAAAATTTATATAGCCATATGTAACAAAAGATCAAAATCTTTGATGTGGTACTAGAAAAAAACCCTCTGAAATTGTGTGTTGAATCTCCCCCTCAAAACAATCATGCACGATTTTTAAATCAGTTTCACTTAAACACAGGGGTATTGTCAGAATCATAAACAGTTCTCTCCCCCCCACGATAACAGAAGAGTGTCTTGGAAAGCCTTCTCTTCTATGCAGAGACAGTGAATAGTGCTTCTGATTTTGCACGTTAGGCTTGGAGACTCTGCAGAACAACTGTGACAGAGAGCACGGGTGTGGGGCCTTTTGGAAGTGCAAAGCAGCCCCTGCCCAGAGCAGAGTGTCAGGACGCGGCCCTGGCAGAGCAGTCGGTAGGTTTCACTCACAGCACTAACTCTAATAAACAAAATCTGTGATGGCTGGAGGAGGAGGTAGCAAAATTCATCTGTAAAAAAATTAGGCAGCATGTGAAGCTATTTCTAGCTCAGGAAGCTGGAGTGAATTGGAATTCAGGGCTGCATGTACTTTTTCAAGGCAGGAGCCTTTTAAAAAAAAATTTTTAATGCTTAGACCCCTTTTTGTTTTCCACAAAGGGCAACTGATATTTCATTATGCATTTGCAGGGGTGCCTAGAGACTTCCGCATCATAACGTATCACAGTGGTAGTGTCTGCTCACAGGCCAAGATCATGGCTCACTAGTGGGTGGTCACTCCGAAAATCCACAGGCTCTTTTTCTATCTCTTAATCTTTCAACTGCTGGGCCTGGCTGGCCCTGCGCCAGAGCCAGAAATGCAGGCTGCACGCCACCAGCTCAGGAAATCAAAGTTTTGAGCTTCACGTGAGACTGAGCCTCTCCCCCGCCTTGTCTTGACTCCTGTTCACGCGCACGCTCGGGGCCCGCTGCTCCTGTGGCAAGCCCAAATTCTCCCTTCACACCCGCTACGTCAGTAACTCTGCTGCTGGACTGGCACATTTTGGATGAGGGAGTGCGAGGCAATTACGTGTCAAGAGCATTTCAGACTCATAATTTTCCCAAACATATGGACATATGGGGAAAAGAACAACTTGTTACTTAACGGCTCTTTTGGATTTTGCAAGTGTGTATTTTCAACCGTCAGTTGTAGCACCTCGTGAATTCTGCATGGTACATATTTTTCCACAATATGGTGCTAAAATCATACATTTTACCCTGCAGAGAAGCTGACTATATATACTGTAGTTACACATTATACTTTTGAAAATACCATACCTCTACCAGATATTAAACCAGTAAATGGCACTTTTCTCCCAGAACAATGGCACCAGAGATTGATGAGATGCTCTCTAATACTTTTTGGTCTCATTCCCCCAGCTAGGTCAGACTGTTCTTCCTCCTTAGCTCCTCACCTGTAGGATGCATCCATATATTATACTTCTAGCACTATTGTTTTGTTTTTGTTTTCATTTTTTTAAAAAAGCTCTGCACTGATCTAACAGCAGAAGCATCATTTAATAACCTTTTGGGTAAGATTAGAGGCTCAGGTGTTCTTTTGATCTGTCCACATCAACTGAGTGGAGCCAATGTAGCCAAGGCAAGCTCTTAAGGAGAGATTCAGGTTATGGGGAGACAATTGCACAGGTCCTTCAAAGGCTTATAAATAACCCGGGGGCTGCCTCCATCCAGATTTCACTTGGCCCTGGCTCTTGAAATACTGTAAATAAGTCCTGTTCGTTGTGCTGTGATGCCATTTGAAGGGTTAGTTGAGAGTGATTTATAAAGGCAGTAGCTTATATTCAGAGCTGTTCTTAATTGTGGCCTGGCTTGATAAAGCCACTGTCGCAAACACACCAGTTTCTCTACAGCTGGATCAAATGTATCAGGGGTTATATTTCAAGGAGGGAAAGGAAAGTATTTTAATTTGTTTTCGCTTCACTTTCAGTGGGCCTTCCTAACACCAGCGGCTACTCTGTGGCTGCCAAGTCCTGGCTGAGTATCCTAACAACATCTAAAACTCTCTGAGAGAAGCACAAGGCTGTGTACAGCACGTACACGATAGGCAGAGTTTCCTTGGGGAATGCGCCTTATTTATGGCGGGTGCCGAGAGACATCCAGCATTACATCCAACCCTCCCTCCAGAGGCTTTTCCCTCCTGCTTTACTAGGGAAGAGGGCAGAAAGAAACAGAACAAGAACCGAACACGCTTGCTTCATGACCAGTTGCATTCCTCTGCCTCCCTCCCACCAATGCTTCCTCCTGACTGGATTTAGAGCTGTTGCTGCCCCTGCTCCGTGGAGTCCAGCCCTGAATCTGAATCACAGAGATGTTCCCCCACCAGCCCAAAGCTGTCTCCTCTCCCCTGTTTCCCAGCCTGGCTGCTGGGCACAGATTGGTGTGAACACAAATGCTAGAGCCTGCTGGGCAGCCAGGCAGGGGCAGCTGCAAGCGCTCCCCAAGCCTCAGGGTTATGCCACTCTCTAATCCAGCATTAGCAGCACAGAAGAAACGTATGGTGGGATTAAATGCTCCTTCTCATCAGGGCCGTTACCTACTGGTGGCAGCCCCTGGAAAGCTGCAGCACACAGACCTGCCCTGCCCTGCACCTTACGGAACTCTTACTCTAACGAGCCCTTTTCCCAGGGATATCTAGTAAAGGGACGTGCTCCTAGCAGGACAATCCTTCCCAGTGATATCTAATACCTGGGAAGTGACCTATGTGATTTAATCTGTTGCATACCAAAGGTGTCAAAAAGACATCAAAGAAATCCTTGTGCTTAATCCTTGGTGAGGTCACAGTCTCCCCCTGATGAGGAGAGAAGCCTAAACGGTTTAATAATGCTCTCAAAAGGCAGAAGTTGAGGAATTAAGGACACTTGGAAACTTTGCAAAACGTATTTCTAGGTGGCAAAACTGTACGGTTTCCCTGTGACAAAACCCTTGAGACAAGTCTTTGAGCGCTCACAGCCCTGTTGGGCTGGGTAGCAGAGGTCCCTGTGGCTGAGGACAGGTGTTTCTGACCTCCTCCCAGGCTGGCTGGCTGCAGAGCGAGCTCAAGCTGCGCAGGGCAAAGAGCCAGGCACGTACCCCACCACCCAGTCTCCCCTTCCCGCTCCACCGCGCTGCTGTCCCCCTCTCCCCACCCACACCTTCCCTATTCCTAGGCACTGCTGCAGTAACTTGCTGCAAACAGCTGTTCTCTCCTCTCTCTCCTGGGCCCCAGGGTCTTGAAGCCCTCCCTGTTACTTTCTCTGTCTTTTCCCTCACTCCTTCCTGTGAAAAGCCCCTTTCCCCACTGGCCTGAGGGCCCTGGCTAAAGGAACTGGAGTAGTTTGGCACTTGGCACCAGCCTGGCGCTGCCTGAGGCCGAGTGTCCCTCAGGGACAGAGGGTGGGCCCTGTTCCCGCAGGTGCCTTCAGGTGGTGGCAGGGCCAGGCTGGCCAGGGCCAGGCATGCCGCTGGCAGGCACTTTGCTGTAACCCTGGCCAGAGTGGGCCAGGAAGGGACTGCCCCGCTGCAGCCGAGGCAGCCCCTGATACAGTAACTTCATGTGAATTATGGAGTCCATCCCCCTGGTCACCTCCTCAGCCACTTCTTACAGGCCAGCTCCACTGAAAGCCCAAGAGGGACGCTTGCTGACAGCAGCTGAGGATCTGATCTCTGGGGTTGACGTTTAGAGAGTGCACACTGTGTAACTAAAAAACATTCACTAAAGCACACACACGCACATCTACAGACACATACTTCTCAGGTGGCTGGCTGCCTTGTCCTCCATGAGCCTGCCCAAGCAAGGCGGATAATGCTTTTTGCCTTGCTCCAAGTGCAGCAGGTGCAATAAGAGGAGAAACCTGCTACAAAGACTGCAAAAAAATGAAGGCTACAAGATAAATGCTGCCACCACCAAACAGAAAGAGGAAGACAAAGGCCAGATTATAAATCTGGAACTGCAGCATCCTTAAAGCATAGAGCTGCTGGTCTGAACATGCCTGGAATGCGGCTGCTACCTCTGCGGCAGTCCCTTGTCAACTCATGATCACACACTGGATCACACGAGATCCCCAGCTCTGCGACAAGTCCGTACCGCGTGCTGTGTTCTCAGTTAAAGACTCTGAAGTACACTCTGGTGACACCATTGCCCTTATCCAGACAGCTACGTACTGCATAGGTGTAACGGGATTCGGTAAATAGCCCTGAGGTGTATTAAGTGTTGCGCTTCATTTCCAGCAGCCATTTTCTATTTTTAAAAAGAATTAAAAAATACTCAACTGTATGGTACCTCACGTACTCAAAACACATCGTACCTCACGTGGCTTCAGTTCGCCTGTTAGAAAGCACCTACGCTGAGCCCAGCTCAGTAAGAACGACTCTAGGTCTCGCGTGCCATTCTTACAGGCAGCTATGCTTGGGAACAACTCTACAAGGATGGCGTCTGACGGGATTCCTCCTGGGCTGTGCTACCAAGTCCAGCGCGTGGCTATACAGCTGCAGTCATGGGGTTCTTCTGCCTGGGATCCTGTTGCCTGTACTGGTACTGGTCCGGACTGGTCCCACGGTGTCGGACAATTTCATTATAAGCTGGTGCTCGGTGGGACTGCGGAGGGGAAGGTGGCACATCCTGCCGGAGGGGTCCTTTATGCTGGTTTGTGATGGGCTGGGCTGAGTAGTACTGGGGGTACCTCAGTTCTGCCACTCTTATGTCCGGTGCACGGATGTAGTTCCCCTTGGATGGGTGGACAGCAGGCTGTCCTCCTTGGTAGTAGGGAAGATCTCTCTCTTTGTATATTACTCGTGGTCCTGTTAAATATTCCAGTGGCTCTGCAGGTCCACGCCTGAGGAGGAAGACATAATAAAGCACATAAATAGGCAGTCTACTAGGGCAGCAACACGTTATTGTACTCACAATCTCTGTTTACTTTGAGAAAGGAAATGGCACCTCAAGCATGACAGGTCCAGATGAATCAAAAGAACTTCTGAAGGATAACAAGCCTCCCACCTGCATGCTACAGAAGTCTGTAACACCCAGGACGCTGGAGGAAGGGTCCAGCGCACATCACAGCCCTTTTACAATGGGGGAGCACTGAAGCCCTTCAGTTCCCAAAGTCAGCCTCCTGTGATCCATTTCCCATAATGGAAACAAAGCTCCTTTAAACAATGCACGTTTGACTGAATCTTATCTAGCCTGAGGATAAACAGATGAGTTGGGTCTGCAAATCCCATAAGCTTTACATGCACAAATATTCACGCTTTCCAAGCTATTTCCCACTATTTTTTTCTTTTAACATGTCAGACTGTAAAAGTTTCCAAACACCATAGCTGGAAAAACTGGAACTCCTGGAAGAAACACTAGGGATGTCAGGCTATGATACCTGTGTTTAATGGGCGAGCTGTCAACGGGGTTTCAAAAAAATCTCCTGTGAGCTAGAAGGCCTGATAGTACAACAGCCCTGTAGCTTACATGCATCAGTATGAATCTGACAAGCTCTAGTTCATGTGAAAAGACACATGTGAACATGGCATCCCTGAGGATGTGCCATGGAGCCCTCTCTGTGGCTTTCTGCATCTTAATTCCATGATTTGCACTAATGAAGCATTGGTATTTTTCTCTAGAACGGCTTAACTTGTGATACGTTTGAAATGGCAAAAATAATTGTTCTCACAGATGTGTCACCAGAGTATCCCCAAAAGTTCAACTCAATTAGGAGTTTTTGCCAGTCTGATTGCAAATGTCTTTGCACTTTGGGCAAAACCTCCCATTGACTGCAGGGGAAGCTTCTCTTGAAGTGAGGAAGGAAGATGGCAAGGTTTTGACCCAAAAGCAGGGGCTGAAAGTATAAATCAATTACACCTGCTCTGTGGGACTGAACTCATCAGCTTTTTAAATATTCTTTGCATAGATTTATTACAAAAGTCATCAAAGCGGTACAGTGGATCAAGTGTTCACAATTCGTCAATGCCTCTCTTTTGTTCACACAGAGATTTTACAAGCACACTCCACCTTTATTAATCTGGGCTTCCATACTCCAACTTGTTTTGCATGAAGTAAAACAAAACATGTGGTTTTCTGCTGCACTCGTTTAAGCCCATGGGGTAAATCATGGACATAGGCAATGAACAAACATTATCTGCCTTGAAATGAACCTACAGTTCTCCCCCTGGAATAACTTAGTGCAAATGTTTCCTGTTTAAAATGGAAAGAGCAAAAGGAAGAATTCCAGGCCTTGGACTTTTAGGACCCTATGCTCCCCAGAGACTTTTTACTTTAAAAACAGAACATTATGAAAGACAGGCACTCCCAGCTTCCCCCTGCATCCCCCCATGGTGAGACAGTCCAGACAAAGTGCTGAAGGGTCTGAAGCCACCCTCTGAGATACTAAAAGGACTCTTAACCACATGTACTGAGACAACTGCTGTCTCTGCGCAAACACCTACGCCTTGCAACAAAGCCTAATTTCCACAGCAGGCCAAAAAGTTACTCTGTGTATTTCTATATGAAGACTTGTTCACTAGTCAGTCCCATCACACTCAGCTCTTTAATTCCTCTGTGCGCAAAACCACACCTCCAATCATAAAAGGCTTCTGCGATGGCAGGAACTGCTTTGTGTCAAGCAGCAAAACAACAGGATCAGATGTCAAACGTAGACTCGTCACCTTTTAATGAAAAGACAATGCTCAAAGTTCTGTATATTAGATTTAGTAAGATGGTCTCATCGGCAGCTATAATCAACCAAATTCTTGTGGATTGGGGTAGAAAGGGACTGAACTTGGAACCTGATCCAGAACTCACTGAAGAGCCAGGTAGCTTTTTGACAGAGCTCTAACTGCAAAACCTAATTACTCTAAAATAACAAATTCAAGATTAATGGGTACCAAAATGATGGTTGAGAACAGGACTGAGCCATCAGCATCATCTACTGAGCCTTCAGCACACAGCTCACCCCTCAACTCACGCAAGAGGTCTGGAAGTTGCAGGAAAAGGGGGATGTGTTTTGCCATCCAACCAAAAGCGCTGCTTCCAGGAGAGCTCAGCTGGTCCAGTTCTAGGATACTGTGCAGAGGGTAGTGCATTCAAGCAGCTTTGACCTAGGACTGTGCATTGAAGATGAGCCTGAGCAATCCAAGCACAAGCGTGCCAGACCCGAGGCATGTACCCAAGCTGCTCAAGCTTGTGCCATCAGGTCTCCGCTGCTGTCATCTATGCTACAAAACTAAATCCACCACTGCTTCACTTAGAGCTAATACTGTCTCTGGTTGTGGAGACAAAAACTTGCAGTTCCTCTTTGCAAGAGGAACATGTGGGAAGGGCAGAATCTCTCTTTAAAAAATAAATACCCAAGCTGTTCACTCTCAGCACCAGTTTTCCTTCTCTGAGGCCAAAACACCCATAAGTGGTAAAATTCTTGAGTGTCTTCCCCAGAGTCAAAGTTTAACAGCTGGGAGGAGAGGCTGTACATGGAGACGATGCTTGAATCCACTTCACAGGGATCCTTTAGGAAAGCCCTGGGAAGATAGGAGGTTTATGAGGGTTTTTAGCAGCCTTGGCAATAATACAAGCAGTGATCTAACCAATGATTACCAGAACTCTCACATGACTGAAACCTTGGGAAACCCTGGTAACTGCCCAAAAGGCTGCCCCCAGGCAGCATGATCAGGGGAAAATTTCATGAAGGGTATCCTCATGGCTGCTCCACACTCCCCAGCTCGCTTCCCCTTTAGATCCCAGTGGGTGTTGCACGTGCAGATACATATGCTACAGTCATGACACTTTTCTTCCCTTTTATAACCAGTACTGCATGCTGAAGCCAAGTTATTTCCTGAGGATTCATTCATTCCCACCTACCAGCCATGCCCCGTTAAGTTTCTTCTTAGGGAGCTGCTCACAGGGCAACCAACCAGCCTGAGGAGTCTCCATGAACTTCTGAAAAGTCTCAAAATACAGGAAAAAACAGCCCTTCCCTCTCCTAGTGTGTCCAATTAACTATCAGAAATTCAGTCTTTCTAAGGTAGAAGAAATGCCTGCAGATCCCAAACTCTGGGTGCAGAAATGCTGTAACCATGAGGAGTAAGTCTGGGTCCCTGGGGGCAGTTCCCAGCAGGGAGGGCAGGCCTCCTCTGAAGCAACATCATTTTCACTTGGTAGCTCATGGTGTAGAAATATATGCTGTTGTTTATCCTTAAAGAAATTGCCATAACAACTCAAACCAAACACTTTCTACTTGGCCCCTTGTAGATGCTACGCTTGTTTCTTCAAGAAGCAAAACAACCCCTGCCTTTTCACTTAGCCGACATTGCCACCTCCGAGGAGGCCCTAATGAAATTCTTCTCCCCTCCCTCACTGTTTTTGTTGGCTCCTGAGGAGTTCAGAGTTCACAGGGCCATATCACACCTCCCAAGTGACCCACGGTTTGGGGGTCAAGCCAATAACCTCAAGTGGAAAATCAGTGACCCAGGGGAGTGATCAGAAATCCACAAATTGGGTCAAGCAGGTCCAGCCACTCAAAAGGACCAGGCCAGGAGCATGCCCTCCGAGAGGACATGCTGAGTAGGAGCTGCTCTGACTGTCAGCTGTTTTCCAGATTTTTGGCCAGTTGTTTGACCTGGGGGTCCAGTGAAATTAATGGCAGACAGAAGGCAGGGAAGCTGACCAAGCATCCTGGGAAGGAGCTGATCTCAGAGCTCAAAGAGTGGTTTTGCCAATAGTTTAACTCTGCTGGCTCCCACTGGAAGATGCATCACTGATGCAGGCCCAGCTAAAAGCAGATAACGCACACAGGTACTCGCAAACGTTTTGTTACATCATCTCATATGCTGGTTAGCAGCTCTATTGGTTTGTCTTTTAAAATGATTCACCATATAAGAACTGCAATCTATTTTGAGATTTAAGAGCACAAAGTAGCAGGTAACTTGTGACTGATGTTCAATTAAGAGTACACGTGTTGTTACTTTCTCAACGACAAGGAAAGCCTGAAGTAGTTTGTTTTTCTATCCCTGCTTTATTTATCTTCCAAGCACAGAGAATATAAAATCTAATATTTCCTGGCTTTGCTGCAGAATTTTTAAGAACTTCTGGGTTTATTTAAAACTAAACCAAAGGATTAGGAATATTGAAGAAAGGTTTCTTATAACCAAAATGTTGTTTAGTCATTGAAGCTAAACAGGCATCTGTAGGTTTCAAAAACACGTAGTTAAAACACTGTTTGTTTTCTGCAGCTGTCCCCCCCCCTTTTTTAAAGCTCTCATTTCAGTAATTCCTCAGTTGTGGAGAATCTGACAGTGTAGACTAGCCTGAATGCCTGATGTTTCAAAAAGCAACCAGAAAAAATTAATTTCATTTCAGTTTTACTGTGTTTCATTGTTAACCCCTATCTGCAGGTCACCTTTAACATCAGCCATGAGACACATGCTTTGGTTATCTGAAAGGAAAGGAAAGCAAAATGATGGTCTGGCTGTTCACATTGTGCCCCATCATGTTGGGGCTTTGAATTTCATCATGAGAAAGAGTTTTTCTTGCCTCTGTTCTATAAGGAGAATGAGAGAGGTCACCCTCCTAGTACCTGGTAAAAAGCAACGAAGGGAATGCTCTCTTCTTACATCACTGACTCCTTCTTGCTACTGAGGGAATATTTTGCAAGGGACATAATCTCACATGAAAACTGCCTTCTTACATTGTCAGGGAGTACTTCTTGAAATAAACTTCAAAGGCAGCCACAGACTCAGTGGCAAATGGAAAGCCCACATTTGGCTGCAGTCTCTTTCATGCCTAAGCAAGACATAGAGAGACTCTGGGCGATGCCATCAGGCAGCTCAGGCTGTGATTAAAGAACAGGAGAAA